ACACATTGTGACATTTTCTTTTCCTCATGTAATCTGAAGTTGGATTGTTATGGAGGAGAATAACTAGCATTTCTGTGCTTCTCTGTGGTGTCAAAATAACCCATTGAGGTCAGTGGAGAATCTGAAGCCAATGTACAGGTTAGGAAGTTGAGACTAAGAAGTTGTAAATGTAATGACATAAAGGACTTGCTGGTGAGTAGCTGTGCTGGATATCAAATTCAAGACTTTTAGTTCCTTGTCAACAACTGTTTATTGCATTGTGGTAAATAAAGTAGCAGTTAAAATAATTGTTGGAGGAATGCCTTCAGAGTAGGATTGCAAGTTTTCCTGTCACATTACAGATCTGGGCAAAAATGAGGGATGAAGAGCTCTTTATTTACCATGCCGTCAATCTGAGTGACTGAGCCCTCTCTTCCCTGCCCAGGAAGTCTTCCTAGTGTAGGATATTATCAACGGCATTTTGATTAATAATGAATAATAGGTATGTTTCACTGAGGTCTGTTGTCTTTTAAGTGAGTCTTATTTTTTCAACATTTCCTTTAAGTATCAAAATACATTTTTACTTTTGTTTTATATCATGTTTTCTAGTTATACCAAGGCAGAGTATAATTGAAAAGTGATGACCAGTTACAGACTGAGTTGCTAAAGAAGCCTGAATTTTAATTTCATTTTATAATCTCCTACTGGGGTCTTACCTTTCCATCTTGACTTTTGCATGATGCTAGATTTTTTTTTTTTTATTGTCCAGTGCTCTCCAATCTCAGCCATAGGCCCTGCTCCCTGATAAACATGTGAGTGAATGAGTAAGTGAGTTTCACACCAAGAACTGTTACTTTCTACTAAAAGTCATATTATAGAGGACTATTAGTGCTAATTTTCCTTTGAATAGACTTGGACATGGAAATATCTTTCTTATTATTTTAACTGCACATATTTATAGGGTACGGTGTGATAATTTGATACAATGTGTATGATGATCACAGTGTGTGATGATCAAATCAGGAGAGTTAGCATTTTCATCTCCTTAAACATCTCAAAAATTTTTTGATTAACATGATAATCATACATATTTATAAGATACAATGGGATATTTTAATACATCTATGCAGTGTGTGCTGATATAATCAGGATGTTTGCATCTCCGTGTTATTGCTTTGTGTTTGAAGCCTTCAAGCTTTTCTTTTCTAGTTATTTCTGAAGTATGTAATAGGTTATGTGAACTCTAGTCACCCACGAGCCATTGAAATCAAACTAGAACACTGGAACTTATTACTCCTGTCTAACCTTGTCTTGGTACCCTTTATCCAGCCTCTCTCCCCACCCCCTCCCTTCCCTCCCCTTTCTACCCTCTAATAATAACTATTTTTATATTCAGATCAACTTTTTTGTAGTATTTACATATGAGAGAGAACATGCAGTATTTGTCTTTCTGTGTATGATTTATTTTTTTAGCATAAAAGTCCTCTATTTCCACTCATTTTGTTACAAATAATAGGATATTATTTTTATGGCTGAGTAATGTTCCATTTTGTATATATACCATATTTTCTTTAGCCATTCATCTGTTGACGGGTGTCTAGGTTGAGTATATATCTTAGCTCTTGTGAATGGTACAGCAATAAACGTGGATGTGCAAATATCCCTTTAATATGCCAGTGACTTTGGAAGTATTGTTGAAAGGGAGAAGAATGTTTAGTTCTTTTATGAAAATCAATCATAAGTAAATTTATAAAGTAAGCACTGTTTTTAATAGGAGGGCTGGCATTATAATAAAATTGTAAGTTAAGCATGTTGGCTATTCCTGAGTCTGAATACAAGTGATTTAAATTTCTGAAGACTCACTTGAAAAAGATATCAATTCTTATTATAAATTGTTGATTATATTTCCTGAAGATTTTTATACAACTTTTTTT